TTGTTGTCCTTTTGATTAGAATGTTGGGAAGGTCGAAATGTCCATACCCTTGTCGTTAGAGTCAATTTGTATATGCTCTTGTTTCTACCCACTTGAGGTTAGAGATGGACATAGGTCGGGTTTTTGGTCTACCTAACTTGACTCAAGAATAAGGAGTCCTCCACCTAAGACTCGATCTGACCCGACCAAAATAAGTGTTCACCCTACTCAAACCCGACCTGATATATAACTTAAAAATCCAATCCGATCCGAAATAATAAAAAAATATTTTTATTCAATAAAACAATGATTTAATTGAAAAATAATAATATATAGAAGGGTATTATTCTAATTATTCCTAAATATATATAAGGTAAAATTATATTTTTTTCGAGTGGGGTCGGGTCGAGTATTTTTCACCATAAACCCGAACCCGACCTCAAAATTTAAAAAAAAAAATTAGCCCAATCAAATCGGGTCAGGTCAGAAGTCGTTAGGTTCGGATATTATGTCAATCCTTACTTGAGGTTGGATTATTGTACCTATGACTCATATTTGGTAGTTTATTTATGATAAAAGAATTATTTGGATATTTTTTTAAGTTTAATAGATTTGAGAATCCCGAGTGGTCTCGGCGGTAAAAAGAAGTGTGTTTTTTTAGAGATTTTGAACTCGAACAATTGCGTACGCAGAATATACGAGTTGTCAATGATTAAAAAAATGTCTGAACATATGTTACCTTAAAAATTGCCATAGACTAATATAATTTAATTTCAAAGACAACTCGATCTCAACCTACTCAAACTCGTCTAACGGAATTAATTTATTTTTATTTTGGTTGCACTAGAGTAAATACTTATATTATAATAAGTTTTTCTTTAAATGATTTTTTTTTTATTTTCTTGATAAAGATAAAGTGATTACTATAATTAATTATACTCATAATCAATAATTACTATATCTGTTGAATATAATATAATTAAAATAAAATAAAAACAAATTGAAATATGTTAAAAAATCAAAATAAGCACTATATTAATCCAAAAAAAAAATAAAAATGATTTGTAGATATAAATTAGAGGAATTAGATATACATATTGTATATTAAATTTTATATTTTTTTATTAAATCTATGATGATTATAAGATAATATTTGTTTAGAATCTTCATTAACTATTAACATATTTGATGTATTCAAATTTTATGTTTTCTCTATTTGAATGTAATATGTTTTATTTATAATTTAAGGTCTAAAATTTAATGGTTATGTTAGAGTTTGACTCGAATTCAAAGTAACACAAATTAATTAATATTTAAAATTGGGAAAGTAAGAATCCTAGTTTAATTAAAAGTAGATAACTTTATTAGAGTAGATTTCTACTTTATTTATTTATTTATTTATTGTAATCAATTATCTATCCCTATAAATATATATTAAGGGGAAAGGGTTAGATATCAAGTTTTTCTTTCACCAAAATCATCTTCTATTTTATTCCTTCATATTAGTGAAATTCTTCTCTCTTGCTCGCCTTTTGGGGTTTTCATGTAAATCTTGGTGTTCTTTGTTTTTTTTCTTTTTGATTGTGTTTATTTGTTTGTCGATAATCATTCTGATATTATAACAAATTGGTATCAAAGCATTAGGTTCAAGATTATGGCAACATAAAGTATGATATTCCATTGTTGGATCGAAACACCAGGTTTTCGCTATGTCATGAGAAGATTCGAGATGTCCTTGCACTATTAGATCTAAACGTGAAATAAAAGGATTTGATAAGAAGCCGAAAACACAATGGGCGAATGAGGAAAAGCGTAAGGGTCGTAAAGCAATTTCTCAGATTCGTTTACTCTTATCAAATCAAATTTTACAGGATGTGTTGCAAGAAAAAGTGATTGCTTCTTTATGGTCGAAATTGGAGCAACTATGCATGTAGAAATCGTTGACTAGCAAATTGCACTTAAAGCAACATCTTTATTCGCTCAAATTGACAAAGGGTTAATTTCTTGAAGAGCACCTGACCGTATTCAAGAAAAATATCTCCGATCTAGAGAGTTTAGAAGTGAAGTATGATCCAGAAGATTTTGTGTTCATTGCCTCTTTCCTACTCATCTTTCAGAGACACAATTTTGTACAGTCATGAAAAACTCACTCTTGAAGAAGTGTACAATGGCCTGGACTCATTTGACAAGATGAAACATCTTGTATCTGGTTTTGAACCGCAAGTAAAGGGTCTCATGGTGCATGAATCGACTAGATTAAACCATGAAAGAAAAGATGAGTGTTCTTCTAGTAATGAATGAAAGAGCATATCAAAATATTCCAACCAATATAAAACTTGTCACTTTTGTATAAAGAAATGGCATGTTAAATAGGAGTGTTACAAGTTACAGAATAAAACTAAGAGAGAGGCTGAAGAGCAAACCTCCGAAAAATATGGTGAGGCATGTGTAGCAAAGGAGTGCTATGACGAAGAACTTCTAGTTGCGGCTGATGACAACTCTTAACAAGTGATGAGTGGATACTTGACTCTAGTAGCAGTTTTCATATGATTTCTAATCGTGACTGGTTTGTGACATATAAAGTTGTATCTACAAGTGATGTATTTTTGTGAAATAATGTCTATTGTAAAGTCGCAGGTATTGACACAATCAAGATTGAGATGTTTGATGGGATTGTTCGAACACTTGATGATGTAAAACATGTTCCAAATTAGAGTATAAATCTAATTTCGTTAGGTACCCTAGATTAAAAAAGTACAAGTTCTCTAGTGAAGGTGGAGCTATGAAGATTTGCAAGCGATTTCTTGTTGTGATGAAAGGGCAGAGAAAGATTGTCAAGTTTTATGTTCTACAGGGTTCACCAATTTTAGATAATGCAGTTGATGTTTTATCCCTCGTGTCAAATAATGTTGTTACTAGTAAAAACGTCTTGACTAAATTTAGCAAAAGAATACTTTTTATTGAATAAGATAATAGTGGGCAGAACAATTATGTGAAGCAGAAAAGAATTCAATTTGAGTGTTGTGGAAGAGGTGGAGAACATGTTTGTTAAAGTGAAGAATTATTTTTGTTGAGTTTGAGTGTCTCATCAAATTCGAGTGTTTTGTCTCGAAACCTTTGCACTTTTAGAATTCGCGTCAAGTTGGAGATCTGTTAAAGTTTGACTCGAATTCAAAATGACATAAATTAATTAATATTTAAATTTGAGATAATAAGAATCCTAGTTTTATTAAAAGTAGATAATTTTATTAGAGTAGATTTCTACTTTATTTAGGTTTCCTTTGTAATCAATTATCTATCATTGTAAATAAATACTAAGGGCATTTGGATGGGGTATGTGAGATTATCGGGGGAATATTTTTTTCGGGAATGTGATTCCCCCGTTTGGATTGTAAGGATTCCCAACCCCCGGTAATAAGTCATTCCCAACAGTGGTATTTTGAGGGCTTATTACCGAGAATGTGATTCCTTCAATCCCTTAGGTATTATTACATTATCGACGTTTTGGACTAAAATGCCCTTAACATAATTTTTTCAAAAATATCATTCTTCTATCGTTGAGTAAAACAAATTCTACGAAGGTTAAATTGCAAATTTATCCTTAAACTATTTTAGATTTACAAAAAAGTCCATAATTAGAATTTTATATGAAGTTCATAGGTTAAAATAAAATTAAACCCTTTCATTAAACCTATTTATCTTTTAAATTTTGTAAAAAAAATATATAAATTTTATGAATTTAAAATTTTTAAATAAAATATATAAATTAAAAATAGTAAAAATATATATTTTCTATGATCTTTTATACAAATATTTTCATTTAAATATTTACAATTCAACTTGTTAAAAAAACCGATATATAATAAGGACAATTTGGTAAAATATACATTACAATAATCTTTTATTCCTTTAACCAAACATTGTAATCTTACATTTCTGCTAAACGAACCAAACACAACAATACAACATTCCCAGTAATGTGCTAGATATTGTTATATTCCGATAATCCTATTCCCGAAGGTAATGCTACATTCCATAAACTAAACGCACTGTAAAGAGTTATATATCAAATTTTTCTTTCACCAAAATCCTCTTGCATTTTCTTCATCATATTACTGAAATTTTTCTCTTCTGACCGTAGTTTTCACTTTTGGGGTTTCCAGATAAATCTTAGTATTTTTTGTTTTTTCCTTTTTTTTGTCGTGTTGATTTGTTTACCAATCAACACGATCAAATAATTATATATTAAGTTTGCCGATAATCATTCCAATATTATAACATTTTAGATTTAATATTTTAAGCTTTAATATTTAAAATTAACCCGGATAAATGCAGGGTGTAAGTTTTACACAATTTGTATATCAAATAATTATATAATTCCATCCATTATAAGCCTAAATCCTAATTTTCTCACTAAAATAGTTCTATAATTTTCTTTTTTAAAGGGTTATGTTAGGTGGAAATTTAATGTTGTCGTCTTTTTTATTTAGATTAAAATAAAAATTATTACTTTTTGATTTTATCATGTGTATCTTCTAATTAAAGAAAATTCGACAATTTATTAATACATTGATGATCATTTACAAAATAGCATGTCAAATTAATTCTCGAAATCTCTACGCTTACATTAATATTAAGTTTTTATGTTAGATTATGTTATCTTATTTTTGTTGTCATTTCAGTGCTCAAGGCATTGTAATGACTAATTCAGATCAATTCGGATCGTATATCTAATTTTGATAAGTAAATCTTTTAAATGAAATTTTCTATATGCACAAAAACTTAAACTAAAAACATAATATCAAAATATTCAAAGCCGAAACCAACTATGTTGGATTATGCTGTCTTTATTGTACCTTCATTTTTATTTAATAAAAGTATAATTTTTTATTTTAAAATTACATAAAATAATTATTTTAAATTAACAATTACCTATTTATATATAAATACAGATTAAGAATTTATTTAAATTCAGCTAAAAAACAGCTGTTTTCACCCGAAAAAGAAACCCAAAACAAAAAGCGCCGAAGTGCGAAAGGGGAGAAGCAAAGAAGAAAAGAAAGAGAAAAATCCATTATTCAGTCTCTTTCTCCTCCTTCTCTACTAAAAAACACCACCCTTTACAACTTCCTTCAGCTTCTTCAGCTGCAATTTTAACCCCTCTACTTGCTTCCTCATTTCCCACTTTCTCTGTGTAAATTATTCTTTCAACAAAGTCAAACCAATGCCCGCTTCTTCTTCAGGTAATCTCTCATGTTATCTTTTTTTCTTCTTTTAAATTCATTTTCAATATCATATGATAACTCAGTGTAAATTACCTTTATTACCCATTTCATTATACTTAGATTTTTTTGAACCTTTTTTTTGGGGGATAGATGGTCGAGGCCGATGGAAGCGGCGGAAGCGAGAGCAAAGATCGAAGCATAAGTTGGAAGAAAAGGATGTGGTTCTAGAGGAAGACGAAGAGGAAGAGAACAACAACGATGACCTTGAGATCTCCGGGGACGATGCCGGCGTACCGACTACGGATCAATCTTTGGCGCGTTCCGTCGAGAGTGAGGTCCTGGCCGACGGTGGAGTTCGCATCTCGGAGTTCCCCTCCGTGGTGAAGAGAACGGTGAACCGTCCTCACGGTTCCGTGATGGCGATCGTGGCTTCTGAACGGGCTGGTTTGATTGGGGATAGCAAGGGGCATCAGCAGGTTGAGCTGCCGGTTTTGGAGAATGTTTCGTACGGCCAGTTACAAGCGGTTTCGACGGAAGCCGCCGATCCGGATAAGTATGTGTTTACCCCTCCTCCTGTAATGGAGGGACGTGGCGTCGTTAAGAGGTTTGGTAGTAGGATTCATGTCCTGCCAATGCATTCAGGTCCAATTCTGCTGTCTCATTTATATCTTCATGCTTTAACTTTTGTCTGGTTTCAGTTTTGGCCTGACTATGAAAATTAGTTTTAATCATTAGACTATGGGTTTATATTAATTGACTGCAAGTTACATTAAGATGTAGAATAGAAGAATTTAACTTTCTTCCATGTCAGCTTGAATATTAAGATGCACTGTTGGAAAAGTCTTTTGGGAAAGTGTGTACTCTAAGTTTCTTTTTGTATTTGACTGGGGAACTTTTATATTCAGTTTTATGTGAGTTGATTAGTCCCTAGAGTAATCGTTGGTTTGATTTCGACTCTAAGAAAGGTCTTCAATCTTGATCTAGTACAGATAAGAGGTGTACTATAGAATAAAACAAAAGCTAAGCAATCTAAACTTGGGTTGGTTCTATTGACATGATGTGCTTCCTTTAATGTTTGTAGCTAAAGGAAGAAACACACATTTTGCTAAACACCAAGCTTATCTTGCACTCTCTCTCTTTTTGCTCTAAAATTTTCTTTTTCATGTTTTAATATTTGGTTATGTTTGTGGGTTACCTTGCAAACAGACTGGTTTTTGCCATCAAGCGTGCATCAAATAGAAAGACAAGTTGTGCCACTTTTTTTCTCCGGGAAATCACCAGAACATACGCCAGAGAAGTATATTGAATGTAGAAACCAAATTGTTGGCAAATACATGGATAAACCAGAGAAGAGACATACACTTTCAGATTGTCAGGGGTTGATAAATGGTATCAGTAATGAGGATTTAACTCGAATTTTTCGGTTTCTTGATCACTGGGGAATTATCAATTATTGTGCAGCTGCTCCAAGTCATGAGCGATGGAAAGTTGGATCCTACTTAAGTGAGGATTCAAATGGCGAGGTTCATGTGCCATCAGATGCTTTAAAGTCTATTGATAGTTTGATCAAATTTGATAAGCCCAAATGTAGGCTTAAGGCAGTGGATGTTTATTCCCCATTGTCATGTCATGATAATGATGCCTCTGACTTGGACAACAGAATACGAGAGCGTTTATCTGAAAATTATTGCAGTTCTTGTTCACAGCCTACTCCCACTTCATATTATCTGTCTCAGAAGGAGGTATGTGACTTTTATTGCCCTCTTAACAGTTTTATCTTTCTGGGTAAATCTTATTAGTTCTCCTTCCGTTGTTCATCTGACTGGTTTCTTGCTTCACATGTACAAATTTAATTAGGTATGTAATCAAATTTAATTAGGACCATTTAATACAATGTACCCTTTATGTAAAAAAAAATACACCATACCCTCAGATATGTATCTTAAACCATCAGAATTACCATTTATGAAAGGATGGTTCAGCAATATTTATTAATAGTTTTTTTTTTTTACTTTGGTTCTTAGTGAAGAATAATACCATTCTAGATATTGTTAGAGAAGAACCTTTCTGCTTAGGATTTTTTTCCAGTTTCAAGATATCAGCACATTCACTGCCCAGATATCTGGAAGTTCCATAATGTTAGGAAAGCTAGGACCTTGTGCACTTAAAATTTTCCATAATGTTGTCATATTTTATATATATTGCTGTTTGCATCTATACTAAATGGAAGTCATTAAAAGTTTTATATTTCTTATGTGCTGTGAGGGCATTGGTAGTTTTACATTTGGTTCTGGTGGTCAAGAAATGAACAATAATAGATTTCTATCTTCACTTGTAGAAAATGAAGTTTCTTGCTAGAAGTAAGTACTTTGTTTATGGTAACTAATTCTAGTTCACCACATGATGCAGTTTCCAAAGATGAGTTATAGATTGCCTTGATTTGGTATGGTTTAGTAGCTATAAGGCATATTAAAGTAAGCCAGACAAATCATGTAAAAAATTTAGAATGATTACTTGCTTTGAAGTACTCAAAAAATTGAATCACAAATTGAACATTGGTTTGGTTCCAGTGTAGAGGAGCTGAGTTTAAAGTTCTGTTGCTTAATCTCAAATGTTAAGGTGTATGTGAACAAGAAGCATTGTGGTTTATTATCAATAAATTGATGCACTCTTTTCCTCCTTCCGCTAGTTGGTTCTAGCCTTAGGGTAGAGAACTACTATGAGGGAGGTTTTTACTGAGGCATTCTATTCCTATCAAAAAAAAAATTCATGAACTTTGTCTTTCAAGATGCTGGTTTACCTAAACCTTGATTTTAATAATGCACATTTGTTTCCTTCAAATAATAATAGTAATGCTCATTTGTCGCTGTTCTTGGCTAATTGACAGGTTGATACGCTTCTTTGCTCTGATTGCTTCCATGATGGGAGATTTATTTCTGGTCATTCAAGTATAGATTTTGTTAGGGTAGAGTCAACAAAAGATTACAGTGACCTAGATGGAGAAAGTTGGAATGATCAGGAAACGCTATTGCTGCTTGAGGCAATGGAAATTTACAATGACAACTGGAATGAAATAGCTGAGCATGTTCGTACTAAGTCAAAAGCACAATGCATACTTCATTTTTTACGCCTACCCATGGATGAGGGCCAATTGGAAGATATGGAAGTCCCTAGCACGCCCAAATCAGTGATTGTTTCAAATGGAGATGGCAGTGGAAGATTGCTCTCAAATATGAACGGGAGACTACCAGGTTTATTATTAGGATCTTTACACTATATGGAAATGAAGATGTTACGTCTGTAATTTCCCCCTAACTTTTGCATGCTTTTTAGGACCCAGCCTTCAAGACACAGATTCTGAAAGCAGGCTTCCTTTTACTAATTCTGGGAATCCAGTAATGGCTATGGTATGTGGCTAGTTTGTTCAGGCACCAAATACCCTTTCAATCTTTTATTAGCAACTTGAGATTTGTATTATGAATATATTACTGTGGAGTGTGAGCATAGAATCAATTATTATTTATTTCTCTAATTGCGCCCTCAATAAACTACATTAATGAATGAAAAATTCATGTATTCTGCTGCTTTCCTGGACAACCATCTTTTGGTACATGGGAAATAGGGCAGATGAAAAAGCTGCTGGTTTTGGAATTATCCTTTTGTCTTCTCAGTCGGATAAATAATTTTTTTATAATTGGGGGGTGGGGGTGGGGGGGATCAACGCCACTTAACCACTAAGGTAGTGGGGCTATCGGTTAGTCTGATAAATAGTCGAATTATGATTAGTGTGGGACACTATTTTGGTGTCATACCAAACGCACGTGTAAAGCTTATTTTCTTATGGAAACTGGTAAATGGGATGAGAAAAGTTGTTAACAGATAAAAAAAGAATGAAAGAAGCTGACGAGAGTTGAAATGCTTTCTTAACAATTTTCCCAAATTAGTCATCTTTATTTTTGGAGAATCTCATTTCATCATTAATGATTTTCCATGCAAGAGAAATTTTCAACTGAAGAGATTGTGATGAAATTTAAATAAAGATGGATCTAATTGTGTTGGTGGTTTTTTCATTCATGGCTCTAATTAGTGTGAAATAATCCAGGTTGCTTTTCTGGCCTCTGCTGTTGGGCCAAGAGTTGCTGCAGCTTGTGCCCATGCGTCCTTGGCAACTTTGTCTGAAGGTGAAAACTCAGCAAAGCATCGATCATTTGATCAAAACGAGGCGGAGGTTCATCCACTACCAGAAGAAAAGGTTAAATCTGCTGCCAAAGCTGGTCTTGCAGCTGCATCAATGAAGGCAAAACTATTTGCAGATCATGAGGAACGTGAAATTCAAAGATTGTCAGCTAATATCATAAACCATCAGGTATGTCTGTTTCCTTTTCCACATGCATCTTCTTTCTGTCATTTAGTCCTGGACATATGGTGAACAATTGTTACTGGGAAATGATTTGGCCCTCAAAAACGACTTGAAAGCAGGACCACTGAGTACTTATCGTTTTATATAATGGCATGACATTATTCATCCTAAACAGTGAAACAAAAGAAAAGCCATAGGGGCATGTCTCATTTTCCGAAACTATATAAGCTTAGATATGCCTTAAATGTGGAAGATTCATGGACAAGTTCGACACTCATCTGCAAATCATCTTTGGATTCTGCTTCTAAAATGAAATTTACGTGTATCTTTAGCTCTTGATTCACATATCTGTTATGCCCATGAGTATATAGGTGTTCCGGCGGTAGAATGATAGGTTTTTTGTGTCTTCTGTTTGTAATCGTTCATATCAAAGCTGTATTTTGTGAGGCCGGTGTCACTTTTGCATCCCCATTATAGAGGTGATTGTGGTGGATGTTGGAGAACACACTGGTTATATGTTTGGATCTTCCACATACCTTTGATTTGTAGTATATATAAACTAATTTACAATCTTTATCTCAGTTGAAGAGATTGGAGCTGAAGCTGAAGCAGTTTACTGAAATAGAAACCATACTCGTGAAAGAATGTGAACAAGTGGAGAAAACAAGGCAAAGGTTTACTGCTGAGAGGGCCCGAATTGTAGCGACACGGTTTGGATCTGCCGGAGTCGCTTCACAAATGAGTCAAAGCGGTGTTGCTTCTCCTATGGCTAACAATAACATCAGCAACAACAGGCAACAGGTAATATCAACCTCTCCTTCACAGCCAAGCATTTCCGGATATTGCAACAACCAATCCGTACATCCCCATCCGTCTTTCATGCAACGTCAACAGATGTTTTCAGTGGGCCCAAGGTTGCCGCTTACAGCCATGCAGGCATCCACTTCGGCTTCTCCGAATGCTATGTTTAACCCCCCGGGGAGTATGCAACCCACTATTAACCATCCTCTAATGAGGTCAGTCTCTCGGACTAGCTCAGGTTAAGGTTGAAATGGAAAGATTCGAGTTTGTAAATTTGGGTTTTAGGGTTGAATTTCATTGGCATTGTTGCTATGTTTGTGCATTTAGAACATAACAGGTAGCCTGGATTAACAGAAGAAGCCTGCCTATTGCTGATTCTATGCATAGAAGTTACCTGAACCGATGTTTAGAGGTTGTAACATCATGTAAGTTAAGGTAGCGTTTGGATTTAATCATCAACTAGTCTTATATTTTTTTTTCCAACAATCTGGGCAAATACCAAAGAAATACAAAGATTTGGTGCACAAAACCCTTTACAATACTCTATTACCCATAATTATTGTACGCATGATGTTATGCCTAGAATCATATACAATGATGGATGTAAGATGATGTAAGCGAATTTATAAAACTTTAGTGATGAAAATAAATTATTAATACAAAAGAAGTATCTAAAATATATTAGAATTTGAAATTTTCGTCCACCTCTCTTTCATCAGTCCATCTCTGATCATGTAACACTCAAGGATCGATGCGGGTGATTCGATTTGATTAGGGGTGTCAGATTAGGGTTACCAGAGCAATCCATTATAAAAATCTCGGAAAAATTAATTTTTTTTTATTAAAATGCTTAAAATCATAAACAATTTATAAATATAAAAGTAAAATTTAACAATATTAAAAAATTAAATAGATTTCAGACTCGGATATAAAAAAACAAAAAAACAAGTTACATGCCTCCTAATCACATGCATCATACTCCGCAAGTAATGCCGGTAGGACTCCCATAGTGATAATAGAGTGAGCTTTGGAAAACTCAGTAATACAAAACTATCATATGATGTTGAAGAACATGCAGATAACATATAAACATATATTTTCTTATTGATTCAGACATTTACAGACTTTTATGCTGAGCTGAGGTCCCACTGATATCTCAGATAGTAATAGTTAGTAAGCTTTCAGTTCAGATGGAATGTTTTGGATGATTGGGTTCAGGAGATTATAATAGGGTGTCGAGTGTGTTCCCACAAAACCAGTGAAAAGGTACAGATCTTTTTAAAATAGTAGCAGTTTAAAACATATTTTTCAAAAACTACTATAGTAAAACCCTCAAATCGAACGCCATATGCAGTTCCCCATAACTGCATAACCTAAGAGAGCACCTTGGGGCTTGAGAACCTATCCAAGAAAGTTCTCGAGGCCATAGAGCCTACCCAATGGTTGCCTTAGGTCCATAAGGAATTACCAGTCGGTGCTGAACCTATACAAGAAATTACCAGCAGCGACTGAACCTGCCAGAGTCTTCAGTCATACCAGAGTCCCAGAGTACCACGTATAAAAATAATTTCATTCAGTAAACATAGATATTAGAAATCATAGCAGAATTCAGAATAGAAATCAGAGAAAACATCCATGTGATCAGGGAACACACTAGAGGTTCCAAATCTTATTCGGAGGTACTTGATAATTTTATCGGGCAGGAAAACACGAATCTTCAGTATACCGATAGAATGTCGTAAATTAGAATCACCATCGAAAGAGTTCATTAGCTGACGAAATCATTAGTTATTCAGAACATGATTTAGCAGGATCATAAAGTATTCAGATATTTTTTCGGAGGCACTATGATATCAGAAAGGTATTCAAAATCCTTTGCATATGAGTTACTTGCGTTTTCAGATATGATAAGAGTAATTCCATTAACCAGGAAATCAAAGGCATTTAGGGCATTAGGTTCTTGGAGATCTTATTGATTTGATATAATAAGGGAGAAACGAAGATTCTGGGCATTTAAGATTTATGTCTACCTATCGGGATATCGAGTTAACTCGAACTGAACAAATCCCAACACTAATACTTGTCAACCGGTCAAATCGTTGCACTTCAAGGGTATTCACTCTTTAATATAGACAACTCTTGTAAAATGATCATCTTCTGAATCATCACTGAATGGATCTTAAGGAGACGAACATATATTCCAATGGTCTTTATTTCATTTTCACATTGCAATGATTAAAAAAATGTCGACGTACTTGATTTATGGTTCATAACCCTTAGGGATGATACATCATGTAAGTTCATTAGCGTTCCAAACTTATCCAAGTCATTCACTTAATCCTAAGTCATTGAGGTTACTTAGGTCATTTAGTAGTCAAATTTATCCCGATCACTTCAGAGTTTCCAGAGTAATTCTATCGTTTTCGAAATTCGAATACATATAATACTTCCATTCTGTTTAACTTGGTCATAAAATATAGTCATATTAGAATACAAGGTTGATTTGTTTATTTCAGAGCTGAGGGTATTTAGTTATTCCAGAGCTTGGACGTGCTTCGAATCATATTACACTTCAGTGGCATTCCAGCTAAATCAGGAATTTAATCGGTGATTCCAAGATTCAAGTGGATCATAATTTAAGTTTTCAAGCCATCTCCATTATCATATTCATCCATAGTCCTTTTTATTCTTTAAGGGTATTATCGTCATTTCATTCAATTCTATCAGTGGCATTACTTCTGATAACTTAGGCTTGAAAGTATTCTAGTTCCTTTAGAGTTCAGAGTACTTTTCTCAATTAATCATTGGAGATTATTTTCACCACTATGGGAAGTCTTGGTCATTTTTCCAGTATAAGGACATTTTTGTAATTTTACCCCATAATGTTATTTTTGGTAATTTATTAATCAAATATTTCCAACATTTATTCTTTAACGAGATTAATCAGAATTTACGCGTTCTGAGATTGATTGATTTATTGATTAAATCATTGAATTGAAATTTGTTTCCAATCAGTCTACCAATTTCTTTTTCGAGCCGTCAGAGTCTTATATAATGTTCCCTCTTTATTCCAATTTCCATATGAGTCCAATGATAGTTAACTACACCTAATGGATCAATCTTTTACATTCATGCATTTACAATTTATCAGTGAGTTCCGAAAAGCATACAAAATGTAGTAGAGTATTACCTCGATTTTCGTGCCCTATCGATCGACCATTTAAACTCCATTCAATCGTCCTCAAACTTTAATTCAATGTCCAATAATTCCCCATATACATAGCAAACAAATTTACTTCAGAAACTGAACTTAATTGAGAAACCATATTGAATCTGAAGGTAAATCACTGAAAAACATTTTACCGGTGCAAATTCAGTAAAACATACCTCAAAATCGAACAAATGACGTCGAAAATATAAACTAGGGCTTTTCAAAAATTTTGACTTTTTCGGCCAAAGTCAACGGTCAACGATCAAACCAATCAAAGTTAACAGTCAACTGGTTGACTCGGTCAAAGTCAACAAGTTGACTCAGTCGAGTTGACTCAGTGACTGGATCGGACTAGGCGGGTTGGGTTGGGTTAGACAGGCGAGTCAAGTCGAACCGGTTCTGGAAAATCCCTAGAACAAAACAAGCCCCACGAGCGGGTGGCGGTGCGTGACGCCGATGGCGGGCTCAGAGTTGCCGGCTGACTACTCATTGTTCAAGCACTTACCAATTACAACCACAATCAATCAAAAAATTAGCCAAAATCTATCGGAATTAAAAGAAAATGACTGAAATGCTTACCCACGCTGGTGATCAGCGAAAATGACGGAAGTGGACAACGACTACGGGTGGGTTTTGAGCGGATGATGCCGATGAGTTCGAATATGGCAGCGGTGAGACGAGATGATAACACGACCGACTGAAATCGCAAAATAACCGAGTAGCGCGAGAGGTTCCATCGAACTCTTTAACAGCTCTCCACGGTAAACGACAACGGTTTTTGACGGAATAGGGGTTGGGTTTTGATCACCGTTCGACGGTGAGTCTATTGGTAGAAGTGGCTCGAACTAGGGTGGCCGGACGACGGCGGATTGAGACAATAAAGATGCCAATGGGAGAAAGAATTTTGGGGGTTCAGGGATTTTCATTTTTAAGGTTGATAAATTAAGGTTAACCAATCGGGGAAAAAGTTTATTTTTCACTAGGTAATAAAAATGGAATAATTCGGGTTCAAGTCCCTGATTTTTACACCGCATTGAGGTTGAACAAACCCCGATGTGGTTAAGAATGGGCATGGGTCGGGTTTTTTATCCACCCGACCCAAGAACAAGGAGTCCTCCACCCGAAACCCGACCCGATATATAACTTAAAAACTCGCCCCACCTGAAATAATAAAAAAATTATTTTTATTCAATAAAAACATTGACTTAATTGAAAAAAATAATATATAGAGTGGTATTATTGTAATTATACCTAAATATATAAGGTAAAATTATATTTTTTTTTCGGGTCGGGTCGGGTATTTTTCACCCTAAACCCGAACAATCATTAAAAAAAAACTCGACCCAACCAAAACCTAAATTTTTTAAAAAAAATTGATCCGATCAAATCGAGTCGAGTCAGAACCTGTCGGATTCGAATATCATATCTATCCCTAGGTGTGATGATGCGATCTAACACTTTATTGAGCCAATGGCAATCATCAAAAGTACAGTGGGTCCTCTTCAACTACACTACGTCATCCGAATTGATGTAAAATGGGCCCCATGAAGAGGTCACATCTTCGTAAAGACTGTGGATCAGCCTCTTCAAATCAGAGCCGTCTAATTTGATCGTGTATATCTCACCATATGGACCTAAGTCATGTGGGGTTCGAGATTGGCTCAGGTGATATTCCTGCATAATCTGTAGTAAACGTTATTATCTTTCCATCCGGACTAAATGACTGGTGCATTGTCCGACCGGATGACCCACTACTAATGAACTTCCTTAATGCAGTACCGTTCGGATGGTTTAGGTACATCTCGAAACTACTTGAACCCGGGTTGGTCGATCCGAAGAAATCGCGACCCAATCACCGTTTGGTGACCAATTAGGCATGGCATCAATCTATGAACCAGTCGTTAATCTTTCGATCCCGCCTTTCTCTCCTTCGATTGCATCAATTATATAGAAGTTCTTGTGACCCGATTGACTCGACCTAAAAATTCCTTTTGCTGATGTGATAAAAGTCAGTCATAATTTAAAAGGTTGGGCTAAAATGAAGGAAATGAAAATGATAAAAATATGAATAAATTATATAAATTTTGTTCAAAAAAATGTATAGTATGCATGTACAAGACACATAAGTACATGAGCATGAGTCGGACAACGGGCAACGCACGTATATTAGTCTTATGATTAATCACTCAATAAATGTATGTTTAAAAAATTATATTTAAACACTTGAAAAATCTCTACATCTACACAATGTAAGATTTGAGAAGCTCATGTGGGTTTTTAAATCTTACACTGTTTAGAATGTGAGTGATTGAACATAATATTAATACATGCATGTTCTCATCTTATAGGACTCATGCTCGTGCAATTATGTGTTTTTGACACACCACATTGGTTT